TATAGAAAGCAAATCCATGGCTGTGTGAAGATGAGGTGTCAGGGCTGTAGAAAGGATTATAGAGGCACAAGAAAAGTTTGGAGGTAATGGATATGTTTATTACCTTGATCCTGGTATATCCATAGGTATACATATGCTAAAACTTATTGAGTTGTACATTTTAAATATGTATAGCATATTGTATGTCAATTTGACTTCAGTAAAGCTGTTTAAAATTATGAGAAATGCAAAGAAAAAGGAAAATGTGCACTATAACCCAGAAACAAAATAAAAGATGACAGAGATAATGAAATTAGCATACGAGGAAGTTAATACATTTCAATATGTTCAATATGCTCAGGGATATAAAGGAAAACAAGAACATACTGAGGAATGGATGGAAATATATAAAAGTATAGAGTTTTAGAAATCAGAACACAACATCTTAAATGAAGACTCCACTGGAGCAGACTAAAAGCAGATTGGACACTGCAGAAGGCAGAACATCCATGGGATGGAAAACGAAACAGTAACAACTACCTGAAATCAAATATACAAAGGAAAACTACAGTGTTCAAATATGCAGAATATACAATACCAAGACGGAACCCTAATGTAAACTGTTGATTCTGGGTGCTGATGATGGGTCAACATAGGTTCTTCCTTGGTTAAAAATAAATGCGCCATTTTTCATGAGTGTTATTCATAATGGGGAAGGCTATGCAGGGGCTTTATAAGAAGCTCTTTAATTTCACTTGAAAGCTAAGCAAGTTTGGGCCCTCCCTGGTGGTGCACTGGGCTAAAGTGCAGCACTGAGAAGCTGAAGCCACTTCAGCATGAGTTCGATACCCGCCCCGAGGGTGACCACATGGCACGGCAGACCTCTCCTGACCCGCCCGCTGCTCCCCTCAGCAGTGTATTTCAGTCACTCTGCCTGTTCTGCTCCCCACTCTATCTCTGGTGAGTCCTCTCACCACCCTTGCACCCTTGGCCTGTACCCCAGTTCTGTAAGTAGAAGAAGTAAATCTTTAAAAAAAAATGCAGATGTAATTAGATATACCCTAAGGAAAACATACACTTAGTAGGCAGTTTTTGCCCTCTGGAAATCTTGTACTCCTACCTCCCAGGAATGTTCATGTGTAAGTTACAGGAGACTGTGCCTCACAACGATAACCTGAGCTAGCGGAAGTAGCTACCTGTACACCGATTGTGGGCAAGCCTCTGCTCCACCCTCTCCTCCATTCTCCTAACATTCCTGGCTTCAGTCACATGGCTTGGGTTCAGACTCATGTCACTTGCCTCCTCACGTTATTTTGTCTTGCTTCTTTGTGTCCTTCACTTCCCGTTCCATGGAAGATGTCTTTCCTCCTGGTTTCAGAAGTAGAGACCCATAGGAAATGGCGACAACAGCTCTATTAAGATGCCAGACTTCCTGAGCTCTACCTTTGTCTGAACACATCTGTAGGACTTTAAGATCTGCCCTTGCTTGAATTTTAATGTTCTGCAAATATGGTTTCTAGTTACCACTCGAGTTGGCAGCCCAACTGAAAAATGGTAAGGGACTTTCCTTTGCCATGTTTGCTAGAGCAATTTGTCTGGGCCATAGTCCCATTAAGGCAGGAAGAGATGGGTCAATGTATAAAGAATTACTGACAGCAGAAAACACTGTGGGTATGTGGGCAAGAGCCATGTTTCTGTGTATGTGTGTGTTTTTAATAACTTCTGAAAGATCTTGCACCCAAAATTACACCACTATTTTGAAAGCTGTCCAGTGACCATTGGTCCAGCAATTGTAGTAGTGAGGAACTTTTCGGAACTGTTTTTTTGTTTGTTTGTTTTTGTTTTTGTTTTTTTAAGAGAGAGAGAAGCAAGACATACAGCCCTTAAAAAACAAGAGTTACAGATTACGCTTCCAGTAAGGGAGCTTATTAAACTTATTTTAAACCCCCTGAAGTTCTGAGACTAGGGCAGAAGATGATTTAGGGGGTAATTTACTGAGTTTCTTTCCCTTGGAGAACATCTGAGAGCAGTTTCTTTAATAATAAAGGGCCACGTACAGGCTGTTTGTGGAAACCACAAAGGCTCACTCCGGGAGTGAGTGAAGGAGATAGCCAACTTGGGGGGCAAGAACTTCTCCGTATCTTGCACAAAAGCCACTTCCCTCGGGCACTCGCTGGAGGTCAGTAATGTGGCCGCAGAGTGGAAAGAAGCCGTTGTTAAGCTGGGAATGTTTCGTGTGGGAGACATTATCTCAAATGAGTGTAAAGAGGACACGTGAGTTTGCAGGCTCAGAGGGAAGGGTTCTTATCATCGCTTGTATTATTTATTTATTTATTTGAGTAGAGGAATCCCGATAGCCCATACTCTGACCCTGCTAAGCTGGTCAAGGAGGAGGCGGAAGGGATAGAGGATGGGGCTGCTTACTAGCAAAGTCCCACTGGGCTCCAGGCAGGGGGTGGGGCGGGTACGAATTAAAGAGGGAGAAGCCTTGGAGAATTTAGCAGAAAAAAAAAAAAGTTTTTAAAAAATATGTTCATGAGGGCCCTCCCTGGTGGCACAGTGGGTTAAAGCACTGCACTAAGAAGCTTAAGCCGCTTCTGCATGAGTTTGATCCCCACCTGCCCGGGAGGTGACCACATGGCGAGGCAGACCTCTCCTGACCCGCCAGCTGCTCCCCTCAGCAGTGTGCTTCGTAGATCTGCCTGTTCTGCTCCCCACTCTGTCTCTGGTGAAGCCTCTCACCCTCCACCCTCTGGCCTGTACCCCAGTTCTGTATTAATAATAAATAAATCTTTTAAAAAAAATATGTTCATGAAACAGCCAGCCATGATGAGGTCCATTTATTGCAAGAGCATCAGTTCCTGGGGTGGGTGGGGGTGTAGGACAACTGGAGAGGGTAAGGCTGGCTTATCCCCCCTCTTCTGCAAATGTAATGCCTGAGGATCACTAGAGGATCCCCCTCCAAACTTAACTCTGCTCCTCTTGATGGAGGGCAGAGCCTAAGAGCCTGCATTTGTAGAGAGCTCCCAAATATTACAGCTATTGCCCAAGCACTGAACTTTGACTAGCGAAGGGATTTGCTTATGATGGTGAGGACATTCTGGATTAGCGAGAGACCTTCTGAGACGATAAACTTCTGGGGGTAGCAAGGACCCTAACAAGGGGAATGGAGAGAAACGAACTAGATGGGCAGGGATGGGCCCCAGACTGGCCCTGAGAAGGACCACGGTCTTGAAACCTTTATTCCAAGCAGGGTCCCTTGAGGGAAGGGGAAGAAGGAGGCCGCTCATCCTTGGCTCTGGATAAAAAGGTCGCGAGAGAATTTTATGAGTACTACACCTGAGAGGAGAAATCAAACATGGCGAGTCATCGGTTGGGGGCTGGGGGGAGGGAAAGGGATGTGCACCTGGACGCTGCAAGCACCTGCACGCGCGCTGGGGCGCAGGACCCAAGAGGCCCTGGCCGGCAGGCCCTTACCTGCGCTCACCCTGGTCGGCATAGACGTTGAGGAAGAGCCCCTCCCTGGTGTCCTGGTACACCGGGCCGGAAAAGCTGAGCTGCAGTTGGTAGCGGCTCCCTGGCTGCAGGGCGTCGCCCAGCTCCAGCACCATGTAGCTCATGTCCAACGCAAACCAGACCTGGTCCACCTGCACGCGACCCACGGTGGCGTCTTCCGCGCCCGGGAGCAGAGGGCCCCGCACCTCGGCGCTCTCACAGTCCAGGAAGAAGCTATGCAGCAGCAGCCGCGTGGTGGCCACTGCGCAGCGCACGGTGATGTTCAGGCGGCCAGTGAAGCGCAGTGCCAACTCCGACAGGTCGTTCGGGCGCAGCCGGGGCCACAGCTCCAGCTCGTAGTGCAGCGGCACGAGCCAGGACGGCAGGCGCAGCTGGTCCCAGGGCCCTGGGGGTTGCCGGCTGCGTGCAGTGGTGGCCACGTCCAGCTCCCCATCCCCGCCCGGCTTCTGGGTGGACCGCGCCTCCGCCTGCTCGCCTGGCGGAGAGGACGCGTTGTCGGGGACCCAGCGGCTGGGCAGCTCGGACGGCGGGAAGCGCGCGCGGTGGCCGTACAGGGCGGCGAGCACCACCAGCGATAACAGGAGCGTCGCCACCAGCCCAGCCAGCAGCAGGGCCACAGCGCGGCTCACGTAGAAGCCGGAGCTGGAAGGGGGCCCCATGGCGGGGCAGGCGTCTGGGTGAGGTGAGAGCCCAGAGACGGCAGCCGCCTCGGGTGCTCAGGGATGGGACCCCCGCCCCTCCTTTCTTGCACGGTCCCTCCTCCTCCTCTAGGAGCCTGGGAGAAAGCGGCCGGGACCACGGCTTCCCCCTCCCGGCTAATGAGATCCAGGTCCCTGCCCACCCACCCCAC